GATTTTAGAGCTCATAAAATTCGAATGTTTGTCTCGCCTCTAGTCACAAAAAAATTGTGACAGATATAAGGTGATGGGGTTCATTTCTTATAACAATATAAACATTATAACATATTTAAAACCATATATTATTTCAGTAGTTTTTTTTTTTTTTTTCTTCTTTTTTTTAAGGCGAAGCTCAGATATATGTGTTGGAAACGGAGTATATTCCCAGACCTTAAATATAAGGTCTCATAATGAGCTGGGCAATGTTATTTGTTTGACTATTGTATATCAATCTAAATTAGTGACACGTAAATTAAAATGGATGAATATACTAATAAATCCACTACGCGTCTAGTTAATTAATATTACGTTGAATTAATTAATTCCTTAAAAGATAAATATATAATTATTCATCTAAAAGAGCTAAAAGAGTAAATTCCAAATAAAAATAAAATGCATTGATTTTATTCAAAATATTTATGATTCTGTCATGACCCAGACCGTCGTGATTGACACCCGCACTAACCCTCCGGTGGGAGAATCATTACTACAACCCAACTAAAAACTAAGACATTTAAAGATACGGAAACAAGTTTAAATGACAATAAAAATGAAGTTCCCATAAACTCCAAAGGTTTAAACAATTAACTAACCAAACTAATGCGGAAATTCAACCCCTAGAACCTGAAAGTCATTGTATCAAAACTCTACGAACGACAAGTCTAAGAACAAGGGGTACAACCCCGAAACTAAACAAACACCTTTAACAAATAAGTCTGAGTCCGAAGAAAAGTGGACTTAAACAAGAAAGATACATGGCAGCCTGAAAGAACTGGCTCACCCTTGAATCCGATCACGCTCAATAGTCACCTAGCTGAGGTCTATCAATAGCCACCTAAAGATGTCATGTACTCAACAAAGAACAAGCAATTGTGCAGTATCAGTACACAACCACAGTGTACTGGTAGGATCTCACGGCTATCCCAATAAGTGAAACATATGCAAGTAACCACAACATTATAAAACAGGCATATACCAAACATATACAATATTAGTCATCTTTTCAGGATCAGTGTAGCATTCCACGTTCTCAATAATACACATTGGTTATCATTTTAGAGTAACAAACAGTCTTTCAACCTCAATCACCATTAGATATGAACGTAATCAACACAAGTAGATACACAACACAATTCAATGATCCTCTCACGGAACCCAATTCAATGGTCCTCTCATGGAATCCAAACCAAATTGTTAGTGTACCGGTTCGTGGTATCCGATCCAATGTTTATGCCGGAACATGGAAACCGATCCCATATTTATGCCGGAACGTGGTGATCGATCCCATATTTAAGTCGGAACTTAGCAACCGATCCCATATTTATGCCGGAACGTGGCAATCGATCCAAGTTAGTGTGTCAGAACGTAACACCCGATCCATTCAACAAACCACAATCACAATCACAATGTATATTCTCACAATCATACAACAAGAGGTGATTCATGGCATTCAATTATTCAATTATCCTCATTCATGATTAGTGTGATCAATAATGCAACATTCGCATACATACATGCATTATAATGAAGAAAGTACAAACATATATCACACAACATGAAATCACAACCATCACCTACCTCGAATCCAAGCTTGAATCCCCTAAGACACTCGAATCTTCCCTTTCAAGATTATTTCCGCTTGTTCTAGGTCTACAAACAATAATATACGCAAGGATAAACAATCAAAGGTCTAATTATTCGGATTATAACAAACCCAATAACCCTAGACCAAGCCCAAGATCCTAATATCCAGATTAAGGCTTTTTCCACCATAATTTCCAGATCAAAACCCTCCCCCATCGATAATCAACCAAGAATTTATATTCTACGAATTGAAAAATGGATTCGGGGAGTTAAAACCTTACCTTTAGCCTCAAGAATGGTGGAAAACTGCCAAGGAAGCACCTTGGGTCGTCTCCCAGCCCTCAAAGTCGAAACTTACAGAATAAAACAATTTTGGGGTTTATTTCCAACTTAAATTGCGATTGTCTCGCTATGACGGCCCCCAGTCCGCCACAAAGGCTTGCACGAAAACATAATGTCGAATTAAGAGTTCCAAACCCCTATTTCACAACACACCTTCATCCCACGACACTCAGAAAACACTTGTTCACGCTAAGATCAATTCCAGAAGTTCTACTCGCCCGAATTCAATTCCGTAAAGTCGTACGGGTTCCTTAACGTCTTAGCTATCCACTCACGCAATCAATTTCATTATTACACTTCTCATTCATTAGCATATTTCCCTATACTCGCATGTTTCTGATTTCGTCCATATCTGAACTAGGCTAGGAAATTTCAAGTTACTACTCAAAAGTTTTTCTGGTCCAATTTTTTCCTCATTGGCTTTTCCCTAACGACGGAAATCAGGTCGTTACAGAATCATATTAAGCTAGTATATGGCCCCTAGTCAAATCATATTTGGGTGAAGTTTCACCATGTGTTTGGCCCCAATTTTTTTCAAAAATATTTGACTATTTATAAAAAATAATGATTTATACCTATAAGTTCTACATATTATTAAATAAAAATACCCATAAATTTTTATTATCATTTTATAATGAATATATTCCGTTAAAAATAACCTTATAATATGATTGATAACATTTAAGAATAAAAAATAACAATATAGGCAAGACAATACATTAATGACACACTCAAACTTGTCACTGATTCAGTTATAATTATAAGCAATTAAACACAAATTGTTTCTTTCTCTCAATTTTATCACTCAAATTAGAACTCAAACTTTTGCGGAGGAGGTAGTAACAAATATTAGTTGAAATTAATAAATAATGGGTATTTTTTTATATATAAATATAAAAGTTTAAGGTAATTTTTGATTTTTTTTTAAATTTTGAAATATTAAGACTTGGCCCAAATAATGAAAATTCTAGTATTTGAATACTTGAGATACTTGACAAATATATATATCAAGTTATATGATCAAACGCCACTTTCCTAATTTTTCCCAAATATTTTTAGGGCTAATCGAGTCCTAAGTTTTGGCTTTAAATTACTGATTGTATTGAGTCGCACCTTATTTTTATAGCTATGTTCAGCCAAATTCAACAACTCCAATTTAAACCCTGTATTTATGTCAAGAAATCTACAGAACATTCAAAATAAAATATTTAATTCAAATTCAGTTACTAACACATGTCATTTTTATTTTATAATCTACTACTCATAAAATCCCATCAAAAATTAAAACGAGAAATGTAAATTAAACCGTTTTTTAATATAGAAATACGTTATTTCATTTTAAAAATAAATAAATAAAATCACATAAAATGCATAAAAGAGAGTATAATTTTTAAACCTCATCATCATCATACGCTTAAAATAAAACTACATGTGAAACGTTCCACACAAAATTACTAAAAAATATAATTTTAAATTGTCCGTATATATGTCATTAATTAAAAAAATAAAAATTGTCGGTATATATTTATCACAACAGGTTATATTCATGCATACTCAAACTATTTATTTTGTTTAATTTTGTTTATACAATTTTAATCTATCTAAAAAAAACATACAACTTTGAAAGCTATTTAATCTTATGTTCTCATTTTATTTAGAGAAACGTTACAGAATTTTATAATATATAAATACATCATTATTCATTTTTAAATAGAACAAAAAAAACATAAAATCACATAAGTTGCAAAAGTGTAAATAGAATTTTTAAACCTCACCATCTTCACTCGTTTAAAGTGAAAATACACATAAAACACTTGATATTTTTTAGACAATGAAATGATAATTATAAATTATATCATTATCGCTCGTTTAAAATAAAAATACACGTAAAACGATAAATATAGTCAGTGAAAATGATAATTATAGTTGTATCATTTTCACACGTTTAAAATGAAAATACACGTAACCAATGAAAATAATAATTATAAATAGTATCATTATCACTCGTTTAAAAGGAAAATACACATAAAATCGTTTAAAAGGAAAATACACATAAAACGGTCAACATAATCAATGAAAATGATAATTATAAATTGTATCATCAACCCTTGTTTAAAAACGCTCAATATAATCAATGAAAATGATAATTATAAATTGTATCATTATCACTCATTTAAAATTAAAAAACACGTAAAATACTCGATTTAATCATTGAAAACAATAAGTATAAATTTTATCATTATCACTTATTTAAAATGAAAATACATGTAAAACGCTCGATATAATTTAAATATAATTTTAAATGTTTGTATAACGATGATTTTAAATGTTTGTACAAATATTCATCACATTCATGCCTACTCAGCAACTTGATCCATAATCTAGTGGGATGAAGTTCAATTTATGATTTTGAACCTATTATTTAATTTTTGTTGACATACAATAAATATAAAATTAAAGCTATTTTGACTGAAAATGCTCAAAATTAAATTAAATTAATTCAAACACACTCATAAAATGTTATGGAATAGCAGAAATTAATAATAAAGTGAAAATTAATTATGTAAAAATCAGTTACTTAATTGGTCAAAGAGCTGAGTTATTGGCATTGACCGACATATTTTAACCGGGCCGGGTATCCTGGGCCTCACGTGACCAGCCACACGTACTTCGAGAAAAATACAATTAGGTGCTGATTCAGCACCGTTAAAAATTAACTCTCATTGGACCAACTCCGTTAATGGGGCCCATATACCCCACGTGCTATAATAACTAACGGTGTTAAAGATGTGGCGAATCGTGGTTTATTTACCGTCGATGTTACCGGAATCTTTGGTTACTAGCCGGTGACTGAGATATTTTTACAGAATCTGACGAGTATGAAGGTATTAATATGTATTTTTCCTTTTTAGAAAAAGTTAATTATGGAATAAATACAAATGAAGAAAATATAATTAAAAGTTGGTGTGCTTGTAATTAATTTTCTAATTTCGGCTGGTTGGATCCTATATAAAACAGCAATTGATTCAAGCCAATTTCAAACACAAACTTTGTCTCTCTAAAATCCCCACACTCATGTTTCTCTCTCTTAATAATCAGCATCTCACTGTTTTTCACCATTCAAAAAGGACTAAAAACATCATCACCTTATTCAACCATTTGGATTCATTACTGTTTTTTTTCTCTCTTATAAACTCTTTGGTACTTACTCTATTTTTGTAGTTCGATTTCTTTTTTTAATCGTCTCAGGCTTTGTTGTTCTCCGTGTGTGGGACTGACTGTGGGTGTGTTTCTCCTTTTATAATCTCATCTTTTAATGTTTTGGGTCTTTTTTTTGTCAGTGAATCATCGTGTTTTAAGCTTCTCTTTGACGGTTCCATTGCTCGTTCTCATCTTTTAAGAGTGCTACTTTTAGTGGTGTCACTCTCAAAAGCACCTTTCTTGGCTCTTTTTTCTCCATTCTTTCTAATCGGTTTGGCTTAGCAGTGAAAAATAGCTAATTCAGGTTTATTCGATGGATCATCATTTGTTGTGTCCGATCAAATACACCGAGCACCGGAATGTTATCAGGAAAGTTACTAAACCATCTTTGGTGAAATCAAAAAAATTCCCAGAAGCCACAAAATCCTCTCAGTTCAATCCCTCTGTTCCGAGGACTGTTCGGATTTCTGTGACAGACCCAGACGCAACGGATTCTTCTAGTGATGAAGAAGACATGCTTTTTGGACGGCGACGGGTGAAAAAATACATCAATGAAATCAGTATTGAAACCGCCGTCAAGTGTGAAGTTAGCATTCCTAACAGTGGCAATGGCAAAACGGTGAATAAAAGAGCACCGGAGCCTCTTCAGACTAAGCAGAAGCCAATGAAAGTTCAACCTCCTCAATCGGCTGGCGCTGTTAGGAAGTTCCGCGGTGTGCGTCAACGGCCGTGGGGCAAATGGGCCGCTGAGATCAGAGACCCGGCTCGCCGTGTTCGGCTTTGGTTGGGAACTTACGACACTGCTGAAGAAGCTGCTATGGTTTATGACAACGCTGCTATTAAGCTTCGTGGGCCAGATGCTTTAACAAACTTCAGCACTCCTCCCAAGCCGGAGCCAGAACCAGAGCCAGAGCCGGAAATCAGTGTTCTATCTCACTCCGGCTATGAATCCGGGAATGAGTCCCGTAACATCCCTTCTCCGACTTCTGTTTTGCGGTTTAGAATGAGCCAGTCAGAAAGTGGGTCTGACCCGATCCATGTTTCGGAAGAGTGTCCATCGATTCAAGGATCGATGGAATGTGAGCAAACGGTTCAACCGTTTGTTCAATGTGCTGCTGAACCGCAGTTGGTTCAGCAGGATGTTGAGGAGTGTCAGGGCGAGACCAGCATGATTCCTGATTACTCAAACGATTACTTGCCAACAGATATTCCATTCTTAAATGATTTTTTCAATTTCGATGGTTCAGCAGCTGAACAGACGTTATTTGAGGACTCAACTATAACATCAACAACAACAACGACACCAAATTGTCCCAATGATTTTGGCTCATTGTACAACGATTCATTGGATTTCGGGAATGATTTCTTGTTTAACGATGCTGACTTCGCTGAATTCAGCAATTTTGATGATTTAGGAATGGATGATTTTTCCCAAGACAGTGTTGTTGATTATTCCAGTGTTGATTCTCTGTTGGCGATTTGAATTTCATTTCTATGAATGACCAGCAAACACACTGTCCCCGGCTTGCTACTCTTTAGTGGCAAATTTTGTCTACCGGCGACAGCAAGAAATCGGCTAGAGTTTTATTTATTTATTTATTAATTATTACTATTAGTAGTATATTAGATAATTTATTTGTTTTAGAATCTCCGTGAAAGTGAATGAAGTGAAGAGTGGAGTTTATTATAGAAAACTATTTCATTTTTTTAGAATAAGTAGATATGGCCTTGGAAAGAGTTGTATCATAAAAAGAACTCTCCGGAGACTTTAAATGAGAATCTTTTAATCTTTAGTGAAATTCAGTTGTTCTAGTATCTTTTTTTCATTATGTTATTTTTATTTAAATACTATTTATAATTAATTCTAATAAGGAATAGTTTTAATGAGTATGCTAAATTGAATTTTTATTTAACAAGTAGGTGAATCATGTATTAGATTTTGAATCCATTTGAATATATTTACTCTTTCTGTCTCAATTTATATGACTTATTTTCCTATTTAGTATGTCCCAAAAAAAACAATTTTTTATATTTAATAACAATTTAACTCTAAAATATTCATTTTATCATCAATGAAATGAATTCTAATCATTTTAGACTACAAATTTTAAAAGTCTTTTTTTATTAAAAGGAGGAAGTATGATATTGCCAAAGTGGCATTTTCTTTGCCACATACCATTAAGCGTGATTTGCGGGTATTTTTTCAATTGACTGGGTCAAGTTTTATGTGCTTTAGCTTAACCCGTGTGAAGTGTATTGTTTGTGATAAGCACTAAACTGAAAAGTTTTTTTGTTATCTTTTGTGGAATTTGAATATCAAAATGAGTATAATGCACCACTTAAAACGTGTTGTTTAACCACATTTGTACCAAAGAAGTAGCGGCAGGAGATTATGACGACAATAATCTAAGCTAATAATAATTAATAATAATAATAATTATTATAATAGCAATTAATGTGGGCAATAAATAGAAGAGACAAGAATTCTTGGCCAACTAATAAATAAATAAATGAAAATGATATTTTCAGATCTTTTCTGTTTTTTTAGGTATTAAAATTAAAATCTTAAAAATAACCAAAAACTGATTATTTTTTTTTGTAAGTGACCTACTAATCTAATAATTATGATATCATATTTGGCCAAACTTGTTATTTTTCTAAAAGTGTTTATGAATTCTAAAAAGTGCTTATTTATAAAAAGTGAGATATTTGATCAATTTGGAAAACAAGTATTTTTGGAAAGTAGCATACCAAACACAAATTGATTCGCACAAAAAATATTTTCTTAAAAAGCAATTTTGAGAAAATCATTTAATTTTTATTTTGTTTTAAATTTTTGGTTAAACAGACTATGAGATTGTTATTTATGTTAATTCACTTGAGAATTTGATTGTGGGATAAATAGTTTTCACATATCATTAGTATAATAATTTAGCTCAATACATTGATAATTTTGTAGTCCTTTTTAAGTCCCTTTTAACCCCATTTACATGTTGTTGTTTTTTTTTGTTATTAAAATTAAATACTTATCATTTTAACGTCATATTTAACTTCTTTCTTAATTTGTTATCAAAAGTGAATGTGACAGTGACAAGAAGAAAATTTAAACAATTAAATACTTCTTAATTCTTATCCTTAATTTGTCATTAACAACGTAAATGTGTAATAATGTAGTTGAAGTACATTTAGGGGACAAACAGGGCCAAATTATTACAACATATATGTAGGATAATATAGACTTGATCCAATGTCCTCAATATACATCCAACGACCAGATATTTCACTTATACACAATTTAGCATATTAGCATCTAAATCTGCAACAAATAATGACATTTCAGTTAAATTCATGAGTCTCAATCAAGCCCTGCCATCTGTCCTGCCTCGATAATTATTTTCATAAAAACAAACTCAATTTTTTTTTGGGGGGAGTGGGGTGGGTGGTCGAGGATCGGAATGAAAAAATAAAAATTTGAAGTTGAAAATATTTTTTAAAAACAAACTTAAATTTTTTTTCTTTTGAAAGGGGTGGGGGGTAATAGGGGGCTGATGGGGGGCGAGGGTAGGGGTAAAAAAATAAAAAAAATTGAAATTACAAATATCTTTTAAAAAGAACTTTTAATTATTTTTTTGGGGAGAGGGTGGTGGTAGGGGTGAGGGTGAGGTAAAATATTTGAATTTAAAAACAAGCTTTAAAATTATTATTATTGGAGGGGGGGGGGGGGGGCTTGAAGGTAGGGACAAAATAAATTGATTTTTTCAACAAAAAAATAATTGTAATTTGAAGTTGTAAGAGAGTTTTGGAAAATGTTTTCCTTAAGTTTTGAAGGGAAGTCATTTTCCTTAAATTTGAGGAAAATGAGTTGATTTGAAAAACATTTTCCAAAACATTTAACCCAACCAAACATGAGAAAATTGGAAAATATTTTCCGGAAAATGTTTTCCTTCATACCAAACACACCCATAGTTTTTTTAAACCAAATATGATATCTTTCTTAAGCTACGTATTAAGTGCCAATTTGAATTTTTGAATTGATTTATTTTTAAGTGATTCTAAGCTAAAATAATTTTAATTTTTTTTTATAGTATTTGAATTAAATAAATATTATCAATTTTGCTTTTGTGTCCTTTATTTGAGTTTTCATCAACCTAAGCTTAGTGGTAGCTAGCCTTATTAACTTCCAATAAATATTTGTAATCTTCAATAACAACTCTAAGTGAAATCATAAGTTTATTAAATATCCTTTCGCCAAAAAATTACATCATAGATAATAAAATATTGTTGAATCCCCTTAATTGACTTCTTTGTTCCTTTATTATTGTTTTTTAAAAATTGAATCCCTCTAGTGAAAAATCACAACTCCATCATTATGCGATATTATATATCATCTTTATTGATAAGCTTTACGATCAGCAGACTAGACTGTCTACCCTACTCCTAAAACAGAAACTTATTGTTGGAAAAATTCCTTTTCATACCTTATGTTTATGTGGAAACACAAGCTTAATTTAATCAAAAATTTACACTATGCTGGCTCAGAAAAGAGCCATTGCATTTGGTGGACAAGTCAATTCTTACACTTATATATATATATATGGATACCTCATTGCCTACTCTCCTTTCTTTTTCGTTTAAAAAATACGACAAATTTTGCAGAAATTAAGAGATAAAGTCATGTCCAAAAAGTGAGATATTAAAATAAAATTAATAATAAGATAGTAGTAACAATAATTAATTGTGTCAATAGTACCTTATGTTCTCACAAACGCAAAAATCGACAAAAAAATAAAAATTAGTTATGCCTCAATTTTATTGACAAAACCCCAGAATACATGGAAAATAAAGTAGAGCGACAGTTCCAAAGTTTATAATCAGCCAATTATACAGTTCATAATTCCAATATACATGCAACTTTGACCATAACCAACAAAAGTCAACCATGTCTTCTTTTTTTTCTTGGTCAATGAGAAAAGAAAATGTTGCTTTCTTTATTTATTTATTTCAAATTTTTGTGTGTGAAAGGGAATAAATTAGAGTATTAACATATTTCCCACAAGCTAAAGGTCTAATAAAAAAGTTGAGACAAATAAAATTTATGTGTGAGCCATGAGTCATAAGCCACCAGACATATACAAAATAAAAGGGCCAATTTTTTGCAATTAAGCCACCATATTAGGACCCTCACAAATTATATGTCTATATTTGCAGACAATCTCGAGGAAAAGATATCTTTGAATCCACTTTATAATATTCTATTATCAGCAGATTAACATAAGTTATTTTCTCCAAATTGAGAATTATAAACATGCTTTTTATTAGGGTGGACACACGTCTCTTACTATATAATTAATGGAAATTGTACACAAACTCTATAGGGCTACTATATTATATCTCTACTCTTTTTCAAATTAAAAAATTCCTTACATTTTGTGAAATTCGGATACATTCTAAGATGTTCCGGTTTAATATACATCCATCAACGTCTCAATTCATTGGGTCTTGATTTCGGATACATCACCCAATATTTCGATACATAGTGTATGTCCCCGATACTTCACGTAAAGTGATATATCCGAAAATAGGAGCGAGTAGGAATTTTAGTAATTTTTTCAAATGGTAGGAAATTATAAAGAACATGGTAAACTAAGTCATATATTTAGTAAATTTTTCCTATAGTTAATTCGTATTAAAAACTGATAAAATTCAAATTCACGCATTATAGGATTCACTATTTGAAGGTGGAGGGGTGGGGCTTTCCCAACCTACTTTTTTTTCAAAAACTTAAAATCAAAACCTCTAATTAAATATGGTTAATTACCGCCACACTGGCCACAATCCATGTTGGTGAAGATATCCAAATAGGAGTATTTCTTATTAGTGGAGTAATTGGTATATGAAACTAAAAGAGGAGAGGGGGGGGGGAGGCCCCATTAATTGTTCGTTAATCAAACAAATAATGCTACTTATCTTGACGTAATTTTGGTTGCCTCTAAATAAAAACAATTTGCACATCCTACTTGAGAATAAACAAAGTATTTATGGATTTTTGGTTATTGTCCATTGAGGGTGTTTACAAGAAAATTAATCAACAAGATTGCGTACTTTTCTATACACCTTTAGGGGCTTAGTATATAGATAAATCTATATTACAATTTTAGTACTATATTGTAACGACCAGTTTCCGTCGTTATAGAATTGCCAACGAGGGAAAATTTGGGGCCGAAAAACTTTTTCGTAGTATTTGGATTTTCCTAACCTAGTTCAGATTTGGACGAAATCGGAGTCTTTGAGGTGTAGGAAATTCTGGTAACAATCGGGTGAATTATTTTTTATTTTGATTTCATGAGTAGTTAGATAACTCGTTAAGGAACCCGTATGACTTTACGGAATTGAATTCGGCCGAGTAGAACTCCCGAAATCGATCTTTGCGTGAAGGGTATTTTCTGAGAGTCATGGGTTAGAGGTGTGTTGTGAAATGGGGATTTTGGAATCCTTTAAATAGCTCATTGGTTCGTGCAAGCCGCCTTGGCGGGGGTTTTGGCCACTCTGGCCTGGCCGCTACAGCGAGATGAGGGCCGATGTGGCGGACTCAATGCGACTTAAGGTCGTTAATAAACCCCTAAACGACCTTATTATGCACTTTTCGACTTTTAGAGCTAAGGAACGAACCCCAGGCGACTTCTACTCGTTTTTTCACCATTCTTGAGGCTAAAGGTAATATTTTCACTCCCCGAATCCGTTTTTCGATCCGTAGAACGTAATGGAATGGGTGAATATTGATGGGGGAGGTTTTATTATA